GTCCGAGGGCATTTCCCACGGAGGTCACGAAGGAAGAAAACCCCACAGGGGATGAGGAAACCCACCATGCTCATCCCTAACCCTCCAGGACTGTTGAGCACAGAGAATGGGGTGATTTAGCTCCCTGCCTTTCCTCAAGCACACTGAATGTGGTTTTTGTTTGGCTTTCTCCTCCCCCAGGGACCGAGTTTAATATTACCTTCCCATTAATTTATATGGGAACATTTCCAAATAGTAAACTTCCAATAAATTAGTAATGCTGATCTATAAAAGGGGAAAAAATGGTTTGTTGCAAGTTTATAGCCACGAGGAAAAGCCATGAAACAGAGGCCTCCTTAGCACAGCGTGCTCGGGGATGCTGGATGCCCAGGCTGCAGCCGCTCCTTTCCCCGGCCGCCCTGGGGCAAGCAGCCTGCTGGTGGCACATCACCGCCAGCTCCTCAAGTGCTTTTCTCCCCTGCAAGAGGGCTGTTGTTATTCTCTAGTTCACCGGGCCAGCTGTTATTTCGGTGTGAATATGTAGTATCTGCAGGGAACTGGGCTTACCTGCTGGCCGCAAGGGCTTTCAGCATCCTTTACCTCTGCCCGGGATAAAATGTGATGGAAGAGAGTTTGTCTCATCGCAGGCTGCCATTTCCCCCATCACTTACAAACCTCTTTTACAGAAATAGGTTCCCAGGACGGACACAGGAGGCTGCTGCAGGGACACACACAGGGACAGCGAGAGGTGACCGCGTTCCCCTCCTGGAATTACACTCCAAAAGCCCGTGGCTCCTTCCCAGAGCTGGAGCGGAGGCACGCCTGTGTGCAGGCTTTGCCTCTAGCAGCCACTTTAAATATAAGTGGAGCTGATTGATAATTTTCCCACCGAAGAAAACCGAAATGAAATAAATAGCATTTGACACCTGCGGAAGCGCCGCTCCCCCGCTGCTCTCGGTCGCAGCGCGGCACCGGTGCAGCTGCTGCCAGGTGTCAGCTCCGCTCCTGCCACTAATAGACTCGGCGAGGTGGGGACAGGAATCTCACTCCTTCTGCTCGGGGCTCCACGTCTTCATTTTTCTGCCTGTTTGACACAAGGTTCAGGATCTGTTCATCACTTGACATCAGCCTTACAGGGTGTTTGTCACTCCGTACATCACCGGGAGACTTCTTGCAGCAGAAGCAACAACTTGATGGAGAGAAGATATTGAAGCAAACTGGTCGTGAAATCTGCAATTTACATGTCGAGGGAAAACCTCAGCACGGGCTTCGCCGTCCAGCTGAGTCTCCTCTTACCCAGCAGCAAGACATAATTCCCTGCAACTGCTGGGACGTAAACAAAATTACCCTTCATGTTTCACCCGTTCTGTGTCTGCGTTTCCATCCTTACCATGAAGGAACTGGCGGAGCCCCCAGCCCGCTCCTGGCCCTGCACCTTGGGACAGGATCCTTCAAGCCCCTCTCCCCCTGCTCCTCTCTCCCCCAGCCACAGAGGTCGGCCACCTGGGGATGTGGAAAGAAACTTTTATCTGCTGTCAAGGCCCCTGATGACACAGAGAAGAAACTGCCTTCTGTTTTTTTCTTTCCTTTTCTTCTTAGTGTGCTCCCCCCAATATCTCTTTGTCAGAGACAGACAAGAAAAAAAAAAAAAAAAAGAACAAAAAGATTCGTGGAGACCAAAGCAAAGGTGATGAAAAATGAACGAGAAGACAATTCAGCCTGGGGAGTACAAACAAACTATCTGGAGCAAATAGTTTATTTTAAGGTGCTAACAAATTTGCTCCAGAGGCCTGTGGAAAAAAGTCAGGTACCATACAGCAATCCTTTCCCTTATTTATAGAATAATTACCATGATTTATTAGCTGTGATCAGAAGTGTATTTATGGCGTGGAAGTTTTCAGCCATATTTCAAGTAATTCACCTCCTTGCAGAACTCCCTGTCGCTGTCATCACAACTCCACTTTTTCTTTCCCTTGAAACCTGCTTGCACCACAATTTATAGCTTTGTTTGTGTGAAAAGCAGGTGTCTTGCTCCAGAGAACAAAGGCAAAACAAGAGCTCAAGGATAACCCAGCAGCTGCCAGGACAGCGGCGCTGGGCATTGCCTGCAGGGTGCTGGCACCCGCACAGCCCCCTGCCCGCCACCCCTCCTGCCTGTAGCCATACCCATGGCTTATTATTATTTTATTTTTTTTTCGTCTTGCTGGCACAGATCAGGAGGGGACCAGCAGCACCCAGCCCTCAGAGACACAAGCTCTGCCTTGCTGTCTCCAAAACAGGCAGAAAAAAACCTTTTCTTTATCTCCTATTAGTCCTTTAATACATCTTTGTCCTCTCTCTGCTCTGTGCAGTTTGATAAATATCTCAATTTTCAGCACACAGAGGAAGAAAACGCTCTCAGAATAATACCGAAGCAAGTTTGGGAGACTCCCACAAAAGTTTGGCCCCTGCCCTAAGCACAGCTCCTTCTTCTGCGGCACCTGAGGTTGTTTCCCAGGCAAGAGGTGCCTGTGCCTCAGGTGTCTGTCTCTTCGTGTTACTTCCAGATGGAGCTGCAGAGTTTTATTTAGAGCACTTCTCTGCTCTCACCTTGTCTTTTTTTTTTTTTTTTTTTTTTTTTTTTTTTTAAATCTCACAATAAAAGTAACTTGTTATTTCCACTTTGTTTCATGCCACACTCATTCAGCCCTCTGGTACCGTGGCAGGGGCAAGCTGGAGACCGAGCGATCACTTTGAGTACCCAGGGAAAATAAAATCTTAAAGTTCTGAGGTCCTTACAAGGGAAGGAAGTTTGATGCTGCTGGAAATATGAGCTGCTGCAGCTGAGACCCCGCTGCAAACAAATTGATTCTCATCAACTCTTATTTGCTTGCCTACACGGTCTTAGGGCTGGCTTATTGCACAGGTATCCCCTCCCACCGTCTGACTCCCCGCTTGTCTCCTGTTAAGGTTCTGCCATAAGCCATGTAGGAAGCTCTAATTCTCTGCCTTTAGGAGGGGATTGCATTTCACCAGCAGAAACGCTGGATTTTATTATGAAGCTGCATCACAAGGTCCATAGGAGAGGAGGAACCCTCTCCTCCTGCCCCCACCACGCACCCTGCTGTCTGTGGGCTTTCTCCACAGCCCAAGAGGTCTCGTTCAGGGACCAGGTATTTGGGCAAGGAGCACGAGGGAATCGTGCAGGAAGCGGCCTCCAGGAGCCTTTCCCTTGTGCCCTGTTAAAGCAACTTGTTTATCACATGTCCGAGACTGAGCACAAAGTCTGACACTAATAGGATTAATGACTGGAGCACAGAAACAGCTCCATTACGTTTTGGGAATGAGACGTATCTGGGAGCAGCCAGGATATAATTTGGTTCATTTGTTAAAATAACATGTATAAAAAAAGAGTCTAAAAACAAGCCCATTCAAGGGACCTGGGGAAGACAAATAAGAACGATGGCCCTTGTCCCTGATGGTATTTGTTTTCATTAAGTGGGTGGAAGAGACCTAATGGAAGAGGAGAGCTTGATCATCGAGTAACCTTGTTGTCTAGAAAAGTCAGAAGCTTTCAAACGGGAGTTAGCAAAACAGCTCAAAAAAAAACAAAAATTGGCCCAAAACCTAAACTTCCAAGTCCCTCAGCTTCTCGTCTGTGCTCATGAGTCCCCAGTTCCACCCAAACCATCCCCAGAGGCCATCTCCCTGCCTTGTAAATGCCTCCCCCAAAAGCTGCTCCTTGCCTACGGACGCAGGGCTCCTGCAGCAGGGAAAGGAGCAGTTTAATGACTTTTAGAGACAGGTTAAGCAATGCCCGACCCTTTTGCCACCTAATTAGGAGTTCTCTTCCCTAATGCTTTGCAAGGTCACGTCTCCTCTCCCCATCTCTCATTATTACCCTGTGCTTTACATCTCCTTTGCCTAGCCCAGCTTAGCCCCCCACGCGTTCTTAGCCGCAGCTCCTAATCACCCCTATCATCCCTACGTGCGTACACGGAGGACGGATAAAGCACAATTAGAGCCACCCGAAGCACGCGTGCTGGAGGCTGCCAGCAGGAATTTAATCAAGGCAGGCACTGGGGAGGGGGAGACGCCTTCCTTGTGGCACGGGCAGGATGGGTGCTGAGCGGCCGGGGGCTGCCTGCAGCACAGGAGGCAGATCTGTGGTGGGCACCGCACGTGGGGCAGGGGGTGACGGGGCACAGGGTGATGGGGCACAGGCAGGGACCCCACTGCCTGCTTGTCCCACCTGTGCCACTGCTTTTCTCCGCAGGAAAGCCACCAAGAAACATCCCCTTTTTCCCTTATCCTTTGTTTCTGGGCTGCCAGAGCCCAGCTGGCCCCGAGCACTTTGTTACTGCCACCTGCTCCTCCTGCCCTCATGGGACCGGTCCCATTAATCACGGGTGCCAGCAGGTAACGAGACCAGCGCCTGCTGCTGCACAGCTCCCTGCCTCCCCCTGCCTCTCCCCTTTCTCCTGTAGGGTTTAGACGTGTTGCTGGGAGCCATCGGTGCTGCAGCCTGGTGGGATGACCCTGCCCAGAAGCAGCTCGCAGGCAGCCTGGGACCCGCTCCTGGGGGCCCGTGTGCCATCCCCAGCACAACAGGAGCCACCAGCCCTGCCACAGCCCTTTCCCATTGCTGCACAGGTCACCTTCTCCAAGGAAAGCAAACAAACCCACAAGCCAAGGTTCCTTCAGCATCCCCAGCAGTGCCCATCCCATGGCAGCTCGCTCCGGGACCTGTCCTCCCCCCGCAGCAACGCACAGGTTACGCACGGCACAGCGAGACGGAGCCTCGTCTTCTCCTCTGCCATCTAGTTCCTCTGATACCTGATTTTTTTTTTTTGATAAGCTCCTTGTTCTCAGGCATACAGTACAAAACTATTTTTCTTGCGCTGAGCAGACAAGATGTTGAAATGTTTTTTTTTTCCCTGTGATAACTGGGAGTGGAAGAAATCCTCCCCATGATTCTTGTCAAGTCAGGGGATCTCTTTGTAGTTCAGTGAATTATTTCATACCCGATGTTAATTTAAATACAAACAAACAGAGATGAATGCGCTCAATACAAGAATTATTTCCAGTACATTTCAGGCTTGTGCTGCTCTGTAAAAGACAGCCACGCAGGCGCTGTGTGCAGAGGGACCCCAGCACGCCCCATTGCACCCGGGCCAGATCCTGCCCAGTGGAAAATGCTGGGGCTGGAGCTGGGCAGGGAGAGCAGCCCCGGGGTGCTGCCACCTCTGCTCGTGCAGTTGGGAACTCTGACCCTTCCTGGTACCGCCAACACATGGCCATGCACATCAGGAGTTAACAATCCCTCCCGAGAAACGGGAGCTGCAAAACAGTAATGTTGTTCCACCTGAAAAGAGCAGGAATAAATCAGAAAAGGGCAAAGTGCATGGAAAGGATGAATAGTAATAAAAATGATGTTTAAATGTGCCACAGAGAATTAACTACTTTTTCCTTCATAGCTTCCCTTTCGTGAGCTATTCCTGGGAATCTGTAAATGAAATCAGAACAAGGGATTTGTTTTATTTTCACGCAGCCTGGGCAGGCTGTAGCGGTGCTGGTGGGGACGTGCGTGTCCCCTGCAGGCTCCCAGAGCCCATCCCAGGTGGCAGGAGCAGGTCTGCAGCCAGGCAAACCCAGGCTGAGGTCTCAGGGATGGAGAATCCTGAATTATTTGTGTGGCTGCAGGGCTGGGGCGAGCACGGCCATGGCATGGGAGGCACCGGAGAAAATGTTGCCGTGACCCCGAACGAGGTGCTGGGGCCACCAGGCTGCCTCCCTGTCCTGATAAACACCTGAAATGCTGCGTGCTTATCACATTTGACTTAAAGGCTGGAAATAATGCTTCCTGGGGAGAGGCAAACTGCTCAGTCTATCGGCTCATGGGGGTGAGCTGGAGAGGTGGCTGCACCTGCCTGCCCCGAGGGAAGCCAGGCACGGCACAGCTCTGCAGCCCCCAGCAGTGGTGTCAGGGACCCAGCGGGGTCTGAGCAAGCCCCAGGCGGAAGACAGCAAGGGCAGGACGAAGCAGGGAGCCAGGGGAGACAATGCTCTCCTTCTCCATCCTTGCCCACCACCACATCCCACCTCTCTGTCCCTTTTCCTTGGCCCCACCACGCTCAGCCACCGCATTGGGCACCGGGGGAAAAAAATGTCAGGTGAGAAAAACATCTGAAGCAAACGGGCTCCTGCCCAGCTTGCGATGCTGTTTTTCTCTGCGAGAGGAGACTGGCTCTTCAAAGGACTGGGAAAACAAAAACTCCCCCACAAAGCCTTTGCTTTGTCAACCACTGCACCTGCGGGATGCCGGCCTCAGGCAGGAGCGAGGGTCGCATGGCGAGGTGCTTTGTCATCGCTACGGCCCCGCTCGCTGGCAAGCCAAATGAACGTCACCTTTACAGATACACAAAATCAATGCCGTCCTATATCCCAGAACCTTTAAACACGAGACAGGCAATTTGTCTTCTTTTATGGGAGGTGAGAGTTGAAAGGAGCCTGGCCAGATTAAATAATCCAGCGGTGGCAATTTGAGGTCGTTTTCACCATATTAATGGTTTTCTGCTTACAGGAGAAAAGCTGAGCTGAGGACCTAGACTTGGACGGACTCCTCAATGACATCACTTTTCTGAAAAGTAGATTTTGACAAAAATTGCAACAAATTTGAAGCAGTTGCTTAGGAGGCAGCCTTGGAGCTAGGTGCACGTGGCTTCTGCAGAGAGACAGGGACGAGCCCTGTCCCTGGGACTTGGACCTCTGCGGACTATTTGCCTCCTCTGGCAAGGAGACAGAGTAAGGCTGATTATTTGAAACTGGGCTTTTTGATTCCTTTTTAATGCGAAAGTAAACAGAGATGGAGTTTTAGAAAATTTCTGTAAGAACATCTGTGGATGCAGCGGTGTGTAATTATGCGCGCAGCACACTGCTCCAGTCCTTGCTACAAACCCAGCTCGTACGCCGCAAGCACGGGGGAGAGAGAGGAGGAGCTGGGAGTCTGCGTGTTCCTTAGAAATGGAAAGCAAATTTGAGATAACATAAAAACATCATTTCACATATCTGAAAGCCTTTTGTAAGCACTTTCCAGGAATATTTTACAGCCTCAGTTTCATTAGTCAGAATACTCGCAGAAAGCAAATTCTAAGCTTGAACGCTTGTGTACTCGGTGTTTGCAAATGTTGCATTATACATCGGGTTGTAAAACACCCGACGTGTGCTGTTAGATCACTCCCACCCAGAAGGGGAAGGAGCAGCGCGTGGCTCGCGGGACTCCCTGGCACACACGGCTCCAAACCAGGATCCCTGCAAGTCGCTGCCAGCTGCCAGCCCCAGCAGCACTGGTTTTGCTTACCAGAAGGGTATTTCTGCAGGTTACCAGAACAGCTCTGGCACACAGCCATGGGCAGCACGTAGGTAGATGTTCACCCAGTAAAGGGAAAGAAACATTCCTGTCTGGTACTTAATCAGTGAGCATTGTGCAATTGCAGCATTTCCAAAGAAGCTCAGAAATGACCGTGGATCCATGTGTGACTGACACTGGCTTTTCACCACTGATTCAAGAAGGGAAATAAAATGCACCAAACATGTAACACGCTGAACCAAGTGCAGGAGATTAACTGAAACCAGTGCTGATTGCCCCTGGCTCCTGCTCTGCACTCCCCCCCAAAAAAACCTTTTTGATCTGGGCAGGGGGAATTTGGGGATCAAACTTGGGGTGCAGTTGCACCCCCAGCTGGACCCATAGCAGGAGGGTACGTGGGGATGCCTCTGCCCTCCCCTGGCACAGTTTTGGGTTCCAGCCTTCTCCAGCTTTCCGGAGAATTCATCCTTGAGGTTTTTCTGCTTCAGCACGTTGCCAAGAGAGACAGTGGCAGATAAAGGAGAACAGCTCCACATAACCTCGATTACCCAAGGATAATGAGGCCCGGTGCACCCTTAAGATATTAGTAATATTTGTATCTATTCAGCTTTTTCAGCACTAAAGGTGACCATTTATATCCATTAAAAGCAGATAACTGGGTGGCAAGTGGAGCCCTGTTTGCACCTTGGCCCGAGCTCCCTCCTGACGGGCAGCATCTATCACAACGTACCTGCCTGGAGAGCTCTGCCCCTGCCTCGTGTCAGCATTTAGCTCCAAAAAACACTCTAACGAGCTGCTCTGATGCATCAGATTTGGGCTGGGTTGGAGAACCCACCCTCACCAGGATGCCCTGCACTGCTCCTGCGCACTGGGGGGAGGTGTGGAGTTCTGACACAGAGCCCATGCAAATCCTTGGGAACATCTCTCTGCCTTCACGGTTTCCTTTCCAGCACATAAGGCAGCCTTGATGCACTCTTGCATGTGATTAATGCTCAGAAGTTTTACACTCACCAAGCTGCAAGTCTGCAAGAGCAAAAGGAAGTGCAAGGCACCATCAAAACGTATCCGAAGGAAAACAGTACCAAGATCACTTAATTATGGAGAAAACATTGTTAAGCAGACTAATCTTCAGAACAAACTCACATTTGATAGTGGCAAGGTGCCCAATTGGTTTGGATGGTTTATATTTAGATCATCTCAATACCTACACAAACCAGGCCACCAGCCAGAGCAAAACTTTGACATGCACAATTAATTTAACCAGATGAAAAGGTCACTTTATTTAGCCTAGGAGACATAGAAAACAAAACGTATTGGTGTTAATTCCTTTTGTTAGGTGAAGAAATAAAAAACAAAGCCAAAACCATGCATGCTACATTTACTGATGTATTTCCTGAATAACTAGAGAACTTGGTAAGGAAAACAAGGAACAAAGAAGTGAGCGCAGCCAAGGGGCGTGTTACCAATCTTTTCCCTTTCCCAGAGGTCGCCAAATGTTTGATCAGCCCCTGTCAAGCTGCTGTCGGATGCGATCTGCTCCTCCCAGGTGAGTGCTTGCTGGGTGCACGGGGCTCGCCCTGGGCTTGCGGCTGGTTATCTGTCAGGGTGCAGGCAGGGCCCCATGCACTGATTGTCATTCCTGCGGCACCACGAGCATGCGGGCACAGGCAGCCGCCAGCCAGGGAGCGGGTGGGATGGCAATAACAATAATAAGTCTCCGATATTGCTTTCCGCCCATAGAACGTAATTGCTTCTGCAGAAGGAATTAAGCATCATAATGAAACGACTATAAAAAGAGACTTTGTTCTCCATCAACAGATCGCAAACGCCTTAGACTTTGTGTGCAAGGGCACCGCAGCCCTGCGGGGTGAGTGGTAAGCACGGGGGCAGCCCCTGGCCCCCAGCAGCAGCAGCTTCAGGAGGCCGATTCCCCTGCCCTGCTTTACCCCAAGGCAGTGCCCCAAATAACGCTGGGGGCTCCTGGCCCGGGGCTGCACAAAGCTGCTGAGCTTCGGCCAGCAGAAGGGGTTGGGTGCCCCAAGTGATAAACTCAACCCAAATTTGCAGGCGCTTTCTGCCTTCCTGAACACCTCGTATTTGCTTTATTTCTGGTGCGTTGGCTGCATTTTGCTCAGTTTTATTTCCACTTCTGGAAAGCTCTGTGAGAGTCTTATGAACATCGTGTACGGCTTCAGATCCATCAATAAGTCTCTCAAAGCTGGAAAGAGAGGAAACAACTTCTAGAGAGGCTGCATGTATCTGAAGGCAGTGGTTGCAATGCAGCAGGAAAAAAAGAACAAACACACACACACAACTTGACCTGGAGAGGAACAAACACAAGAATAAAATGCCTAAATAAAATAAATGATCCGAGTCAGCTGGAGCCTTGCACAAGCAGAGCAGCCCCAAGATTTTCGCCCAGAACGGGTGCCAGAGCCTGCTCCCAGGCAGGAGCTGCGCATAGTGCAAAAATCGAACTGCGGCTGTCACTGCACCCACAGCCCCTTTATTGACATTCTCGAAGAGCATCTCAGACACGTGTAAACCTGCCCTGCAATCTTCCATCAAGCGAGTTAATCCCCTGGCAATGACCAGGGAAGGTGCAGCTGGCTCTGCTGCCTGGTATTGAGAAGCCACCGATGCCCTCACGCTCCCCGGGGCGCAGCCAGGCTGGGGCCAGATGGCTGCGGGAGCAGAGCCCTGCAAACAGCTCCCATTTGTTTGGTCTCTTTTCCCTCCACAGAGCACAAATTCCTGCCCGAAGCGTCCTCTTGTTGTTCTCAGTCTGGGTTTTATTTCTTCATTTGTCACACACGCTTGGTTGCTGCATGAGACCTTTGCTAACCCGCCGGCCCTCCACCTCATCAACCCTGATTAGATGAGTTTTGTTCACGCCAGAGGTTCTCAAAAAAAGGGCCAAGAGCCCTGCGCGCTGTTGAGAACTTGCTCAAGCAGTACATTGCCCATTCATAGTCTCCTTGGATGCTGAAGAAGAATCTGTCCACTTAAAATAGGATTATTTCTGGGTGGCAAACCACAAAGTTAATTTGGCTCTAATCCCTTTAAACGGAACCAATTATTTGAGTGCTAATGACTCTTCTGGAGGTCTCTCCCTGTCCGTGCTGGTGAGGGCACTCGCAGGTTTGCTGGTGGAGCAGCCTTTCCTCCGGCACCTGCAGCTGCCACCATCGCACCCGGTGCTGGCAGCACGACCTGCACCAGGAGGACGAGGAGCAGTGACACGAGGACACCCGCTCGGAGACATTTCTGCCCGCAGTACGTGCCGCTGCGTCCCTCCTTGCCAGCACCTCACCACGCAGCCATCATCCTCCTTAAGGTTAACTTCTTCTGCTAGCAGCATATATTACTTAACGGATGACAGAATTATTACGGTCCCATAAATTACATCCCAAGGACTGACTTTGGGAGCGTACTTGCTCAGGACCTTCTGGCCAAGGCGAGCTCAGTCTCGGGATGCCCTTCTCTAACCACCCTCGGGAACAATTTTTCTCTTGTCTTTTTCCAGGCCTGAGGAACTGCACAAACTCTTTAAGCAGCTATAAATGGGAGATGGGCAGGCTGTCAGTGAGGAACAGCTCATGGTGGTGGGGTGGCATTGGTGCCAGCAGCAGGGAGGGCGCAAGGGGGGGGCAGCAACCACAGTGCTGTGACCAACCCAAGTGGTCTTTGCGCCCCTGCAGCACCCAGGAGCCTGGAGCAGGCTTTGGGGACAGGACCCCAAGCAGACCCCATGGAGACAGGGGACACAACCAGCCCTGCCCAGGGACTGAGAAGCAGCCACTGTGCTGCATCCCCTCCTGGTGGCCCGGAGTCCCTCGCTGCCCACTTTTAGCGGAACACAAGAATAAGCAGCTTTAATCATACCGTCCCCACTTGCTACTGCTATTATCATCGTCATTGTGATATTAAACCAGTTAATTCTTTCTCTGAATTTATTTGCTTTTGTTTTTGTACTCCCATGCTATAATTTTCAATTTAATTAGTTTCAGTGTTTCTGAGGGCAACAGGTCTTGGTTTATCTGCACAGCTAATAGCCCTAATTGTTTACCCTTTCTTCAGCAATATCTCATTAACTTTATGGGCCATCATTTCCATGGCATCTCCAGAATTAATTTTTTTACTATGCAAAGCCTGCTCCTAAAATCATCCCACTTTTTCTTCTCTAGACCTGCCTGACCTGGCCCAGCCTGGCAGCTCCTGCTCTGCAGCCCCTGCTCCCCCTGTGCCTGCAGGCAGCCAGGGCTGGGCGAGCATCAGAGCTGCAGGAGGAAGCCGAGAGGCTTTGGTCATTTGGGCATTAGGTCACAGCGGCAAGAGGAGCTTTGTTCCTCAAAGCACACCTTTGATACATCTAATCAGACTATTTAGAAGAGAATCCAAATTGGATCCCTCCTGAATACAAATGTCAGCAGTGCTGGGAATCGGCTGCATCCCTGGGACGTGCTCCTGGGCAGGGCCCCCCCCAGCTCCTCTCTGGGTGCAATGCACAAAGGGCACCCACCCACCTCGTAACCGATCACGTTTCCCCTTTCATGTCTTTCTGAGGTTAATCCTGCTTTCTGCTCTGGCAGTGCCAGCACAGAGCTCCTCACCTGCTGGTGAAGCCAAGGCAGGGTGTGCAGGTAGCTGGGCTGCCCCAACGCTTGCCTCCAGACCCCATTAATCATGCCTTTAATGAGTTTGTGTTCACAGATGAGATGGTTTTGGCCAAAGAGACGACTCGCAGATTATATCTCCCATTGATTGTTTTGTCCCACTGGAATGATTTGTACCCAGGAAATGGGTCTGAATTCACAGCTTAAATCAGGCTCAGGGAGCAGACTTGGCTCGCAGAGATATTTTTTCTGTTTTAATGATTACAGCGAGTTCAGATTTCTTTCTCCATGTTCCCAGCTTCATGCTGAACTTCTCCTTCAGAAGGAGTCCTGCTGCCTTCCTGAGCCCCCCAGGCTCGGTCCTGTGTCCCCAGCTCCAGGGCAGAAGGACAGAGCAGTGCTTGTGCTCCTGCAGGAGGGATGCTGTGCAGACACCTTGGGTCCCAGCCATGGTTTCCTCACCTCCAGATCTCTGTGTGAGCAGGGCCAGCCAGCCCAGCACCCTGCTAGCAGCCACCACGAGCAGACCTGAATTATTGATAGGCACGGGGCTTCCAGCAGAGCCGGTGAGCACGGCTCCCTTCCCAGCAGGCAGCATATGGCTTTTGGCAAATTAACGGACCCCAAGCCCCCCACGACCTTACAGCCGGACCCTCCTCATACTCCGTTCCCAGCCCTGCCACATCAGGGTTAGGACTGCTTTAATTTTTCAGAGCCATCAAGGTGGCTCGGATAAATAGCTTGTGAGGAGCACCTAAGGGAACGAGAAGCATGTCTAAGCTCCTCAGTCTCTTACAAGGTAGTTTTGATAGTTTTGAGACTATCACTGGCATGCAAACTGTATAGGGGGTAAACAAACACACGTACGTGCAACATATGGAGACATACACATGAAGCACAAATTAGCCATATGGCCAAGCGTTGCTGCCAAATTTCATCTTTTCTCCTTTGGCCATTTTATTTTATTTTTTTATCTTCCATGGGCTGCCACAGAAGGCGCCACTTCTCTCCACGTCCCCATCGCAGCACCGCTTCCTCTCTCTTTTCCCAAGGGCAAGTTTGAGTTGCTCCCTGGCTGCTTCTATTTAAATATTTCTGTAATTGCATTCTGGATTGTCCAGAAAACCAGCATTCCCTCAAAACGAGAGAAAGTGGCTGGGCAGGGCAGGGGGCTGCTGACTCCCCAGCACCCTGCCCACGTGCCAGGCTCAGGCTTGCCCTGACTTTGAGGCTCACGGAGCCTTGTTGAGCCACAGAAACATGGGTGAGAGTTAACAGGCAGGGAAATGATGCAGAGACATGATATGGTTTGGGAAAGCTGGAGGTGCTCCGGGGGCACATCAGAGAGCAAGCCAGAGAGGAGAGCGGAGGCTTCTGGAAGAGAGCCCGCGCGAGGGCGGCGGTGTTTCTCTAACCCCGTATTGACTTTGGCTTCCAGAATCAATTTTCTTTATTAGCTGATGAATCTCTTCAAAAGACTTTCTGTACTGAATCTAGATAAATTATTTAAGCAGTAAATTCTTTCCACTCTAGCACCGTTACAGTGCAGTGATTTAATAGGGAAGAGAAGTAGAGAGGTTTAGGGACAAGGTCACTGCGAGCAGAACATCTGAGCATTAATAGGTTTGCTAATAAGTGATTGTACAGCTAGGAACCAGTGTAAAACAGAAGCAATTATTAAGAAACAGGTATTCAGCAAAATACTGGGATTAGCAGCGAATATGAGGAGCAAGTCATAGGAGACTATAGTCTTAATTATTTATGCAAACAAATTGCTGTGGATGAGAGGAGTGCGCAGTATTTGATTTCAGCAAGAGTAGGCACTGCTCGCCAGGTAGGGCTGCCGCCTGCCAGAGCTGGGCTGTGCTGGTGGGCACGTGCCTGGTGCCTCTGCATGGGCTGCAGGCACCACCATTTGCTAATTGTCACCTAATTGTCACTGGGGGCTGGGGCAGAGGATGCTCAGCTCCACCGCCCCCTCCCAGATCCACTGAACCTCTCGTTTGTTTTGCAAATCAGCCTTCACGCGCTTGTCTGGGAGCTTCGAGGCCAGAGCTAACATAAGAGCTAAGGAATAAGAAATAATTCTCCCTTTGAGAATAATCCTGGCTCACGAGGTCAGAGAATTCAAACATATTTATAGCCAGCAAAAGGAAATGATGGTGTTAAATGGCAGCTGAAGTATGCGGAGACCCAAGGAAAACGGCTGGCCGTGGCCATTCGTTACGGCACCAGGAAGATAATTACGGAGCAAAGTATTGGGATCCCGGGCAGTTTGGACCACAGTCCTTCTCAAAAGCCCACTCCAGAGATCAAAAGGCTAATGCATATTTTCCTGCAGAACAAAGCTGTAAATCAAAAGCTAAGTTGAGGTTTAAGAGCTGTTCTTGGGTGAAGGTGGCACAGAAATGCTGCTCAGTGCAGGGATGTGAGACCCTGGGAGCACCGGGCCTGGGTTCAGCACGTCCTGCCCAGAGGAGCACGGTGCTGCTGCTCACAGGGACAAACCAATTGCCTGGCCCTGTGTTTCCCTGCAAAAACCACACCTTGACGAGTTTGACCTGGTTCCAATACCCGGCTATACAAAGCAAGCTCAATTAAGACACCCAAACGAAGGAGGTTTCGCCACCTCCCGTGTGCAAGCACCGTGCTCTTCCACGAGGTTGCAAGAGGCAGGCTGAGGGGTGGGCAAGGGCAGGGGGGATGTGGAGAGGCACCCCCATGGCTCCACCTGGGGGCTCCAGGCACCCACAGGGGGCTGCACCCCAGCACATGGGCAATTTCCTCTTCCTCCTCCTCTTTTCCATCTCTAGCCCTTCTGCCCACGCAGGATTTCAGGACTCCTGTTATCGGAGTGAAGCAGGTTAGGGCTATTCGCAGGGGGCAAAGCCCAAAGCAGCCACTCAGGGACTGACACTGGAGCCTTCCTGACCAGTTCTCCAAAACAGGAGTAAAACATGAGCAGTCCACATCCGGGGAGATTTCCGCAGCCTCCCAGCCCTGCTCCTCTCCATGCACATCTGTTTCTCCCAGCTCCAACTCCAGAACCTGCTGATGCTTTCAGACCTGAGCTTAAGTTATAGCCCGCAGCTGGAACAAAAACCTGTTTTCCAGCAAAATCATCCCCTCCGTTTGCTATTCAGCTTGTACTCGCAGCAGATCCATATTCAGGACCGAGCACTATTAGTACCTTTGCATTCATTTTTCATGCGTGTTCCATAAACAAAGCGCATGCAAACAAAACATTCAGCCAAATGAGGCCAAAGGCACTGCTGTCTCGGTATGATGCACGGCCCCAATTATCACCTTCGGGGAAAGCAGCCCAGCTCCACCACCTCCCAGCTCCCCAGCTCCACCACCTCCCAGCCCAGCTCACTCACCCACCAGGCAGCAGCAACACCAGCTCCAGCTCGCAGCTCAGACTGGTTCGAGGCTCTCCATTGGGGTAACAAACCAGGCAGCCCAGCTAAGGGAGGAAAGCCACGGTGCTCCCACCACTGCTACTTTGACTGCAGGCTTAATGCAGCCCTTAAACCCCATTTTTTTTGTTAAACGGTTTCAGCAGAAGTGAATGCAAGCATTTAACCTGCAAGTACTTACCCAGCCGACTCTGCAATAGGCGGTGTAACTGCTGTCAGCTGGGTTTACACAGGCTTTTGATCAAGATCCCTTAACGGGAGACATCTGCGGAGCACATGGGGCTGTCAGCTCGGTCCCTGACCGCAGGGAGCAGAGCTCAGCGCCCGGCCGCTGCGGTGAGGGGCCCGACCTTGCATGTGTGGGTGTTTTGCCAAGCACTGCCAGTCCCCAGGCACTGGTGCAGCCAGTCCAGCACCGCCTGGCATGCTGAGCGGTGCCAGACACATCCACAGCATCGCCCGTGCCTGTATCCATGCCCCGCTGCTCCCTTTCCTCCTCTGCCCCAGCAGAGCCAGGCTCCGGGGGGTCATTAAGGAGCACATCCTCGCTCCTCTCCACCCTGGGAGCAGCAGGGGTTCAGAACCAACGTGTGTTGAAGGAATACATTTAAAAGTATACACATCTCTGGTTGTGTACATCAAACCCAATTTATTCCGAAGCAGCAGCTCAGACATGCTCGCGGAGGCTTTGAGAGCATGTTTATCTGGCAGGCTACTTGGGAGATCATTGCCATTGATTGCCATGTCATTGTCACTTCTGGACACAAAAGAAGGCCGGAGGGACTGGGATTACATTAGCAGAAGTAAACTGCACACAACGTGGAGCTGAGATTTTGCCGGGGAGGGCCAGGTACACCTCTGGGTCACACCGAGAGCACGGTGCTCGGGGGGAGCAGCCGTCAGCGCTGCTGCATGCTGGAGAACAAAGTATAATGATGCGATCTGCCAGAGCCCTTTAATGGTATTGTTATTTATTTATGGATTTCTATAGTGCCACCTACAAGGAGAACATAGTTTTTTCAAAACGGAGAAAAGAAAATCCCACCTGATGGAAACAGAAACAGAGCAAATGTTCAAAGGGAAAAAAAAAAAAAAAAAAAAGTAAAAAAAATAAAAAAAAAAAGCAGCAGGCTTCTTTGTGGAGAGCTGGAGAAAAGGCAGTCTCAGATGAGCCGAGGGCTGGAAAACCCTCTCCCCCATAGGAAATTAAAGAGCTCAGTCTATTGAGCTTGTCAGAATGGGACTGAGGGATGACCTGGACCCTTCCTGAGAGTGCCGGCACGGGAAGGACATGGCAGGGCTTTCAGCCACAGGAGAGCAGAGCAAGAACCAGGGGATGGGAATCAAAGCCAGTCCTACTCCAGTTAAAAGGCCCTTTTTAATAGCAGCATGGGCATTTAATGATGCCGAGAGAAATGATGGACTCTTGGTATTTTGGTATTTCCTGTCCAAAGAGGATGCTCAGGGTGGGAAGTAATGAGACTGGGCCACATGTTGTAACCGGCAGCCCTTTCCCAGGCTGGCAGAACCTCGGTTTTGGCACCATCCCACACACCAGAGCCAGCCTTTGTGCCAGCAGTGGGATCTGGGGGGAACGTGGCTCCTGGCAAACCCTACACGGGGTCCTGCGGTGCCACCACCCCGCAAGGGGGAAAAACTGCACAGTGGCCAGAGAGGGACTGGTGCTGAGAGATGTGAAGGTCTTTTATCGTTATTCTGAATCATTATTACTGATCTTGAACTCCTGGATGCAGCTGTTTATCAGCAGATCTCCAAGTACTTTATAAAGGAGGTCGCTATCATTGTCCCCTTTTTTTGCAGACAAGGAAATTGAAGTCAGCTGGAATTGCCGGTGCTTAGCCCTTTGAAAATGAGGCTCTAAATAACCGAGACTGCAGGGGATTTGAGGGAGGCAGGATATAATAACCTGAGTGGGAAGTTGTCCAGGGCAGCAGAACGGACACTGCAGCTCAGGAGAGGCATCTCGCAGTATTTAATGGTGGTGAACAGCGAGAGCAGTGCCGTGAGTGCACCCCCTGCACCCGAAGGGCAGGAGCAGCAGCAGAGCCTGGGCCAGCTCCTGTGCCCTGGCCCAGCACAGCCCAGCACATCCCAGCATGGCCCAGTACAGCCTAGCATGGCCCAGCACATCCCAGCATGACTGGTGGAGCAGTGGGGCAGCAGGACAGCCTCCTGGAGAATTACCAGGAGAAATTTTACCACCGAAATTTCTCTCAGTGCAGTTTCACCAAGGGCATTGCCGCCGCTGTGGGCTTTGGCTGTTTTGTGTGTTTGCTCACCGCGTTTCCAGCTGCCCCCCCCGTGTGTGTTTGCACTGCGCAGGCTTTGGTTGTGACGGCCGGACAAAAGCTGTCTGCAGCCTGCGATGCTGCAGTGATAAGTAACAGGAGGCACAAATTAGAACAAATCAATCTGAATCAAATTCAATTCCTTGCGCAATCACCGAGATCAAGATGCCAAAGAGCACCCACGATAAATTAAAAGCCGGTGAGAAGGCAGTCGAAGGCGCTTCCCAAGGCAGGGTGGCCGCTGTTCAAAAGGCATTTATTCTCCTCACAGCGGGCTGGAGCCGTGCAGGCCGGGCAGTGTGAGCTTTCCCTTCAGCACCCTGAAAGCTTTGTGCCACCTGAAGGCCCCTTTTGGCAGACACGGAGACCTCGCACTGCCCTGCTGAGACGTCTCTGCCTCGCGGGGCTCTGCCCTGGCACCCGCAGCCGTGCCGCCAGCACAGCCAGCAGCGCACCCAGCGCCTGCTCCGAAAGCAGCAGCACACCAGGGATGATGTTTATCTTCTTTGAGGAGCAAAAAGTTGCATAATTTTATGGGGAAAAAAAAAAAAAATCAAATCTGTGTATTTCAAAAGGCATTCATGAAGATAAACAAGCAGGATGCTTTCTCGGTATTACATCCCCTTTCACGTTCCTTTAGCCATTAAGTGAATTCTGTTTGATCAATGAAGCTGCCTTTGCCACGGGGCACAAAATAAGTGGCATAAAGTAACGGAGGGGAAAAATTTACCACCGTTAGAGATAAGCAGAACTGTCTTCTGCAGCTTAAGCAGTTACCAGGAGCTGCGTCCACTTCTTTGCTACGGGGCACTTACCTGTTTATTGATTCGGTGCTTTGTGTGTGCTTTTTGCTTTTTCACCTCCCAGCTGCTGTTTGGATTTTATTGGATTCTTGCATTTAAAATTACAAGCAGGTACTTTGAATTGGCATTAGCTCTTTAAATATGTGCTGCATCTTCGTGTGTCATGCCAGCACGAGCCAAGCACATCAGAAGCTGCTAGATAATAGGCAATTACTGTTCTTAAACAGACGAGGCATTCACAGGGAGAATGGGCTGCATCTTAAATCATCCATAAATTCTCTAATAGTGCTTCTATTAATACCTGGTTTCTGGCGCATTCCAAATTATTGCGTTCCTTATCAAACCACCGCCTTTCCTCAGCAAATCAGTGCTCCTGGGCAGGAGAGGCGAAGGCAGGAGCTGGAGCAGGGCTCAGCAGGGCAGCCTGCGCCGTCCCGTGATGCTCCCCATCACCTTTTTGGCCAGACTTTACCATGGAGACTCGGCTCAGACTTTCTCGTGGCGCTGCCAAGGGAGCAGCCTCCTCCAGCAGAGGCTGGACAAGAAGTGCCCTGGCCGCTGCAGCTCGCAGGTGTCTCAGGAGCCGAGCGGCACTGCTGAGGTTTGGGCTCCCCGTGGGCACTCGCGGCGCTGGCAGCGGCGCAGCAGCCACGCGCTGAGCGTGAGCCGGGTTGTAAACGCCGCCCGTCCTCCCTCTCGAACCATTACGCACTCCGGGAGAATGAGAATGTACAATCCATGTCTCATTACATTTTTTTGAAATATTATCCTTTTCTTCTTCCCTGCGTTTTCCTCCTATTAAGCAGAACTTGTGCTTTCTTTGGAGAATACGAGTGATTTGTTTCCATAACAACACCTCTCCTCCGGCACTGCCGGTGCCCCCGCCTCCCTCGCCCTGCTTCGCCCCTTCCGAGCCCACAAAGCCCCCAGCCAGGGGGACACAGCCCTGGCGAGGGCAGGACCCCCAGTGCCATGTGTCTGGAGCCACCAGAGCCCTGCCCCACTGCAGCTCCTGGCCTGGGTTTTGGGTCAGGGCTTGCTCATGCCAGCATGGGACTGAAGATGGGGTGCCGCAGGTTTCCCCATGGACAGATCCTGCTCCAGCTGCTGTCAGGGATTTTGTCCAGCTCTTCAGCAGCAGAATGATGCACACCTATGGGTGCTATCCAAGCCCATGCTGGAGCTGGTGGCAAGGGTCCCCGCATGCAGCACCCCCTCCTCAGCGCTCTCCTTCCCACTTTTCACCTTCCGAAGTGCCAATTCAACCTCGTTTCCCCAGCACGCTGCCATTCCTTACCTATGGCCTCATCCCGATTGCACCAGATTCTTCAACGCTGGTAGCTCTGGGTTATTTATTTTTTTGGTTTTGGCTTTGAAAGCTCCCCAGACCTCAGGGGGAAAATATTGCTAGAGGAACTTCCTCGTGCACAGAACTGGTGAGAGGTTGTTAATGTTGCTGCCTGTTATAAATTCTCTGTCCTGCTCCTGGAACCTTGCTGTGCCATGATATAACCTTGTTATGTTAACATGAAAATTAAACACAAGAGATGAATCTGCTAAATTGGATTCACCTACGTAGATCAAAATCACTCCAGCACCAGCAGCAGGGCTAAAGCCAAGCCAGCACTGAGGAAGCTCAGCTCAGCCTCCCAGACAGGAATTCGGGATAAATCCCTGTAAACAGCCGTTTGCAGCTGAAGGCTGAGCACTGTCTGCTGCTCAGGGCGTTTGCAAATGTAAAACAAACTCTAATTACAACATGGGGAACATCCTGAGGGAACAGAAAGGGCCCGGGGAGCCCCCTCATCCTCTTCCCAACTCAGCAGGGTCCCCGAGCGGGCAGCAGTGTGGGACCCCCCGAGCTCAGCACGGCCCCGCAGCCCCCTCCTCGGGGAGGCACCCGCCAGCTCCTCAGCAGCAGAGGGCAAGAAGCTGCCCGTCAAGGGAAGACGAGATTGAATGCTGCCAGATAATTACCATGCGTGTTAATTCCCATTCTTTCTTTCCACGCAAGACT